AAAAGATTTTCTATTTTGTATGGTTATCACACTTAAATGTTTCAGATCCATCTATCCCCTTCTGCTTATCCTTATCAGGCTCACAGCGGGGCTGGAGCTAATCCCAGCTACCATATGGCAAGACCATCAAACAAATTTGTCAAAAATAACACAAGTAAAAAAAAATGCTGTTTCTAAATTAAGGTGTTTATTATGAAGGGGAAATACAGTCCAAACCTACATGGCCCTGTGTGAAAAATTGATCGCTCCCCCTACCTGTATTACCATTAATTAACGTGATGTATCACATCCTAGGAAAGCTGGTTTCAGCTTAACTTTACTCTTTACAAAATACAGTGATGACTCATCCAGGAGGTCACAAAAGACCCCAAAACAACATCCAAAGAACTGCAGGCCTCACTTGCCTGAGCTAAGGTCAGTGTTCATGACTCCACCATAAGAAAAAGACTGGGTAAAAATGGCCTGCATGGCAGAGTTCCAAGACGAAAATGACTGCTGAGCCAAAGGAACATAAAGGTTTGCCTCAGTGTTGCCAGAAAACATATATATATGTATATATATATATATATATATATCAAACATTCTTGTCCATTAAGTCATTAGTACAGTACAGTTCCAGCAAAAACATTTCACAAAGAAAACTAAATTATTTTTATCCATAGGTGCAGAACTTTGAGCGACTACTGCGAGCTATTTACGCACCTCAAAATATTTATTGTGTCCATGTGGACAAAAAAGCACAGGCCTCAGTCTTTGCTGCCATCAAAGCCATTACTTCCTGTTTCTCAAATGTGTTCATGGTCAGCGAAGCTATGAATGTGGTCTACACTGGCTGGACACGTGTCCAGGCTGATCTTAACTGCATGGCTGATCTCTATAATACCAGTACAACATGGAAATACTTCATCAACCTCTGTGGTCAGGATTTCCCTCTAAAAACTAACTTGGAAATTGTGCAAGCTTTGCGTGCACTAAAAGGAGGTAACAGTTTGGAGTCAGAGGAAATGCCTCAAGGAAAGAAGGGAAGAGTGTCTAATGCTCACCGAGTAGTTGATGGAAAAGTCCAGGTACTTCATTTGGAGATTTTTTACATTGTATCATGTAGCTATTAATCAATTCACCTTGCTATTGTAAAAAACTTCACCATCATATTAACTTTTCAATTGTCCCAGCCAATAGGAAAAACAAAGGATCCAGCTCCCTTCAATCTGCCCATACTATCAGGAAATGCCTATATTGTGGTCAACCGAGGTTACGTTCGCAGTGTGTTGGAAGACAAGCGAATACAGGCCCTCATTGAGTGGGCCAAAGACACCTACAGTCCTGATGAGTTTCTGTGGGCAACAATACAACGAATACCTGGTGTTCCTGGCTCAACATGGCCCAACCGTAAATTCGACATGACGGACATGAATGCAATTGCCCGGATGGTCAAGTGGCAGTGGCACGAGGGGTCAGAGGGTTCCCTGCAAGCAGTATACCCAGAATGTAAAGGCCACCATGTCAAATCAGTATGTGTGTATGGTGCTGGAGACCTGCAGTGGTTGATTGAACAGCATCACCTTTTTGCAAATAAGTTTGATGCAGACAGAGATCCCATTGCTATCTACTGCTTGGAGAAATATCTGAGACACAAGGCACTGACTGAGTTAGTTTAGGTGGAGAGTTCATCATCTATTATAAAAGACAGTCTACATGGATACTTAAACTATAAACACATTCTTGGGTCATAATTGTCATGTGGACATAGATGTTTTATACAAGTTGAGGATGTAGGTAAAATATTAATTTCATTGTTACATTGTTGGGTTTTTTTGTCTATTTAAAATTTAATTATTATTATGCATATTTATATTTGAGCAGACAAATGTTGCTAATCTAGCATGGCATGTGAAAGGTTCATAACTCTATCTCCAAAAGTTGATTCTGTTCATCTGGACGTAGCGTTTTGTGGGAGAAACGTTTTGTCTCTCATCCAAGTGACTTCTTCAGTCTCAGCTGATTACACTTTGTTAGGCCACTATCCTAAGACATGATCAACTTGGGTGTCCCACCTGAAGGCTAAGCTTCTGCTAGTTTAGCTTTTAGAGTCACTGAGGGATGCAAGCCCCTGACAACGTTAAGGTGGCAATCCCTCAGGGGGAAACCAGAAAAACAAAACAACAAAAAATTAAATATCGCTCATCAGATTCTTCTAACAACTAAAAACATAACATTTACCTTAATTGGGTGGCCTATATCAAATATATTCAAGCCCAACTGTTAGGTTGAAATTGTTACATGTTGCCAATATTGTACTTAAATTTGTAAGCCTTGCCTTAAACTGTATGATCAAAGACATTCTTCTGTTTCTGTCCTCCTCCCCGGGCTCAATGGTGGGGGAGGTAATTAGTTATAGTGTTTAACTGCAGACATTGCATGTAAGGTTCTGGATGTCCTTATTTAGTGAGGATGTTTTACTTCTTGCCCTTTATGTCCTCACCTGTGCTTGCACCTGTGCCATATAAAGGGTGAGGGGAGATGACCCTTTGTGATCAGCAGGAAGTCACACAAAAACACCCACATCCACACAACACTCACTCACGTGCACATGCATATACGCACACACGATTGCATATGCATACACACACACACACACACTCAGTGCCCTAGTTTTATGATGCACCATAGGGGGGGGGGGGTTATAATGTGTGTTTGCATAAACTGTGTGTCACAGAATAAAAGGCTGCAGGGGAAGCTGGGTTTTTGGAGTGGTCTGAGACTGAAGGCAGAGGTGCTGCTCTGAGATCCTCCCCTTGCTAGCGAGTAAAACTGGTTGAGCTGTCTTGCTTTGTTCACAGGAATAAGTCTGAACTAGCGGGCCTGCTGAAGTGCAGACCCAACACCTACAATAACACTTTTCAGTATTTACAATATTGACAAAACTAAAAAGGGTAGGCCAAGTTATAAAAAAGGCAATTCAAAAACTCTTGGTTAATTATCTCACGAGTCACTTTTACTCCCGTCAGCCACCACACAGACAATTTCTTTGTTTATGTCACGGGGTGAAATGGACAAGTTCACCTGAGTGTTTTTATTTTGCATGTGTTGCATGTGCATGTGTTTTTTTAGTTTCAATATTTTAATAATGTGCAGTGTTTTGTTCTTATATTTTATTGCATGTTTTATTGTGTCCTGGGGAGACTACACCCCCTCCTGATCACTAAGGAGGTCACAGAGGCCAATAAGAGGGCCTGGCAGGACAGAGAGCAAGAGAGTAGTGGTGCACTGGATCACGGTTTATTCGTAATC